TTACGTCCTCCGACCGGATGCAGAGGAACATCCGGTCCTAGGCAAAAAAATGCATGTACCGAGGTGTACCGAGTTTTTTTGAAAAACTCGGTACACCTCGGTACAGGCGTTTTTTGCCTAGGACCGGATGTTTCTTGCATCCGGTCAACCGAACCAAATAAAAATTCCTGTCAAAAGAACATATAACTTTTTTTTTTTTTTTTTGGGAAAATTTGGGCTTACCCGTGTATTGATTAAAGAAAAAAAAAAAGAGTAATTGAAGTTCTTGGCTTAACTCTTCGCAAAGGAGCAGATTGAAAAGACAGAGGAAGATAAGGATGAGTGAAGAAGAAATATTGTATTCAGATCTCTCTATTACATGAAAGCATAGATATATATATATATAGATGTACATTAAAACAGAATAAATAATAGAGTGGTAGTGAGCTTTAACAAACAAAACGGACACGTCATTCTTGATGATGACGTGTAAGCCCCCCCCCCATTCTTTGTACAAAAGGTTAATTTGGAGCGAAGATCGGTGAACCGAGTTGCGGATAACGATTTGGTGAGAACGTCGGCGATCTGATTAGTTGTGTTTATGTGAAAAATGGTAATTGCCCCGTCTTTAATGTGTCAGCTAATAAAGTGATAGTCGATTTCGATATGCTTTGTACGGGCATGGAACACGGGGTTGTTGGCGAGAGCGATGACCGAGGTGTTGTCGCATGGTACGAGTGTAGGATGTTTTTGTTTAATTTGAAAATCATGTACAAGCCGACGTAGCCATATAAGATCTGACGTAGCCACCATGGTTTGTTTCTTTGAGGACCAGGATACTAGATTCGGTCCTAAGAACGTGCAGAATCCACTTACTGATTTTCTTCTTGAGGGTTGGCCGCCCAATCCGCATCGGTGTAGGTACGAAAATGTAGATCTCCTTGTTTTATTGGTAAACCGAATTTCGTGGTGCCTTTAATGTAACGTAGGAGTTGCTTGAGTGCTTGATAGTCGCAGTTCCTCGGGTTGTGCATATGTTGACATATGGAATTTGTCGCGAACGCGATATCTGGCCTAGTCACGTAGAGATATTGAAGCGAGCCTGCTAGTTTGCGAAAGAGCGAGGGATCGTGGTATGGGTGTTCGGCTAATTCTCCAGTTAGTTTTGTCTTGTCGATTGGAGTTGCAGCCGGCTTACAATCGGAAAAGCCTGCGGTGTGAAGAAGATCGCGAGCATAGTGTGTCTGTTGCATGAAAAAGCCTTCTGCGGTTCACTAGATCTTAATCCAGAGAAAAAGGGATACATCGCCTAGTTGTTTGATACTGAACTGCAGCTGTAGTTGTTTGAGAAGAGTTGAGATTTGTTGAGGGTTGTTGCCTGTGACTAAGATATCATCTACTTAAATTAGTATGAAGATGAGTGTGTTATTGCTGATTAAAAATCAACAAAGAAGGATCAACTTTACTGAAAATAAATCCAAATGATATAAGAAAAGAAGTGAATTTGTTAAACCATTCCCTTGGTGATTGTTTGAGTTCGTATATGGACTTATGGAGTTTACACACGTGGTTCCGGGTGCTGAGCATCTACGAAGCCGACCGGTTGTTTCATGTATACTTCGTCGTGTAGATCGCCGTGAAGGAAGGCGTTGTTGACGTCAAGTTGTAGAACTGGCCATCTGTGGTGTAGAGCGACAGTTAGTAGGATGTGAATAATGACCATCTTTGCTACCGGACTAAAAGTTTCGGTGTAGTTGACTCCGAACTCTTGAGAGCAGCCTTGGGCGACCAAGCGAGCCTTGTACCGAGATATTTGGCCGTTAGGATTGCATTTGGTTTTGTACGTCCATTTGCATCCTAGAATATCTTTGTTGCGAGGTGGTGGAACCAAGGACCAAGTGCCTTGTCGCTGAAGAGCGTTGAATTCTGAAGACATCGCCGATCTCCAGTGATGGTGTTTGACAGCTTGGTGATAAGATGTTGGTGTAATTGCGGTACTTGAGATAACAGATAAGTCAAGAATTCGTTTGAGTCGAGATATACCAGCCTTGGACCTGGTCTGCATATGGTGCGTGGAGACGGGTTGAGGAGCGGCCACAGAGTTGGGATTGTTGGAGATTGAATGAGTAGCAGGAGTGATGAGAGGAATTTCATTTTGAGTTGTGATAGGGGTGTGGAACTTGTTGGGATTGGAGGGAGCTTGAGCTGTGGGTGAGATATTGTATGTGGGAACTAAAGCAAAGGGGACACCGAAGTTGGATGCATGAGACGGTGATGAAGCTTGTTGCGATGGAAAGAGGAATTGCTACTCGAAGAAAACCACATGACGAGATATATGTATGTGATTCGTTTGAAGGTTGAGGCATCAATATCCTTTATGCGATGTGGAGTAGCCTATAAAGATGCATGGCTGTGAGCGAGGTGATAATTTGTTTGGGGCGAGAGGTCGAAGCCACGGAAAGCACAGACATCCAAACGTGCGTAGATGTTTGTGGTTTGCGGATGTACCGTATAGTGTTTCGAAGGGAATCTTGTTAGCTATAGCGGTGGACGGTAGACGATTAATGAGGAAGTTTGTCGTAGTGAGAGCCTCTGCCCAGAATGAGATGGGAAGATGGGCTGCATGGAGAAGCGTACGGGTAAGGTCAAGAAGGTGCATGTGCTTTCGTTCGGCTAAGCCGTTCTGCTCTGGCGTATAGGGACAGCTCATTGGGCAGTTGATACCGTTAGTTTTAAGGTAAGATTTAAAAATATTATTGGTAAATTCGCCTCCCCCGTCTGAACGAAAAAATTTGATGGGTTCGTTGAATTGATTTTTGATGAGGTTACATAATGTTTGAAATTTGTGAAAGGTCTCTTGTTTAGAGTTCATAAGAAAAAGCCACGAAAATCTAGTGCAGTCGTCAATAAAAATTACATAATATTTGTATCCGTTCAAAGAATTTTGAGCAGGACCCCAGATGTCCAAATGCACAATTTGAAAAGGCTTATTACAAGACGACATACTAGAAGTAAAAGGCAATTTGTGGCTCTTGGCCACATTACAAGAAATACAAGCAATAGACGAGGGCGAGCAGTTGCGTAAGTCTGAGATGTGGGGAGCAAGAAGAGGGAGAACCCGGTAGTTAGGATGACCAAGACGAGCGTGCCAAAGCGAGGTGGTCGATCCTGTGGTATGCAGCGCGCGTTTTTATTATTGATGGGAGTTCGGAGTTGGTACAGCCCATGACTATTGTGACCACGTAGAAGCTGTTGATTGTCCCGAAGGTCCTTAATAACAAAGCTGTTAGCGTCAAAACATATTGAAACATTGTTATCATATGTTAATTTATAAATAGATATAAGTTTGTGCGAGAGAGTCGGAACATGTAGGAGATTTCATAGATAAATCTTACAGAAAGAATTGGGCAAGGGCAGAACTCCTTGGCCCGTATTCTGAATTGGTAGAGAACTTCCATTAGCTATTGATACCGAATCCAAACCACTGTAGGGAGTCGGATGTTGAAGATTGGAAGCGTCCGAGGTGAGGTGGGAGGTAGCGCTCAATTCTAGTACCCAGTCTGCCGTGGATGAGCTTTGTTGTTGAATCGTGAGAGCCATTGGGTTTGTCGGAGGAGCATAGCTCAGATTACAGCTGTGACAACAATTTATTGCCGAGTGGCCGATTTTAGAGAAAATATGGCAAGTGGGTCTGGTTGTTTGATGTTGCTGACCGGCCGGTTGAGAGGAATTGTTGGAATTCAAGATTTGGCGAGGATTGGAGTTTCGTCCGTGGGATCGGTTAAACCGACCTCTGTTGGAGAAGTTGCGGTTGGACAGAAGAGCAATCATATCGGATTGCTGTTGGGTTTCCTTGAGTTGTTCATGCTGGAGATTGATCTCCTCACTACATAAGAGAGAATAAAGAACATCAAGACTGACCGGATTTGGTGATGTTCGGATCGTGGTCTTGAAGGCGTTATAGCTAGCGGGAAGCCTATTTAGTGTGTACAGGATGACGTCCTCGATAACTACGGTTGAACTGGCCGCCGCAATATTGTCCACGATTCACGATTGTCTTGATTTGTGCCAAATATTGTTGCATTGTGTTGTCTTTCATTTATACTTGATGGAGCTCGTTCTTGTGCTGGATGACGCGGGATCTGTTCGTTGGCTGCAAGCGATTCTCCAAGGTATG